CCGCCGGAGCACCGCCGCCCCGCACCCCGCTCGGGGCCCGCCGCCACCGCCGCCGCCTCTGCTCGTGTTGCCAATAAACCGCTGTGCTCCTGCCCTGCCTGCTCTCTGCGTGCCTGCCTGGGGCCGGGCCGCGGGATGCCCGGCTCCCTGCCACCATCCTGGATGTCCAGAGCCTGCCCTTCCATCTGCCTGACCCGCGGGGTTTGGGCACACATTCCTCCCCACGCGTGGGGGCTGTGCCACAGGGACCGCGGGCCAGGCTATTGTCAGCTCCTAGAGGCACCTGACAAGCCTTTGGGGTGCATTGTGCTCCTACTGGGATCACAGCAGAAAATCTGGTGATCCCTATGGTCTGGAGGGTGTCTCAGCCTTCACATGCCCACATGTCAGAGCAGTGTGGGGACAGCAGGCTCACCTGGTGTGGTGCACATGCCGCAGGAGAGGGCCCTTTGCCAGCACCCAGGAAGAGATGTTTCTCCTCTCTGTGAGGCAAGTGGCAAGGAGAAGGAAGTCTCTCAGCCCTTCCTGCCACTCCTTTATTTATCTCCATTTTTCAGTGGGCATCTAGATCTGCAGATTCACTGCTCATATTTAGGGTTTGTTGGGGAGTCCATGGAATTGGTGTCAGCAACAGTTTTATTGCTTCCCAGCAGGCTTTAAATGTCTTGGTATATTCTCCAACTGTAATCTTAGCTTTTTCATAATGGCACTGTCATGCCTGAAGTGTACGAAGCACCTGGGTTACTTAGTGTTTGTTAAATTTTTGAGGCTGTCTGACATCAGCTGGTTCCTTGTTGACATAGTTCCTCCTTCAAGCTCACAGTTTTGCTCTCCGTAGGAATCTGTTTTCTATTGTTTGAATAAGTGCTCCTCCAGCTTTTTCCTCAGCTCTCATGTTTACTGTCAGATTGGGCTGCACATCAGGAAGGCTTGGCTGCTTTTGGAGCATAGTACCTGTGGAAATGAGTGCTTTGTAGCAGCCCTGCAGTGGAGTGGAACAGCCATGAGTCACTGCCCTTAGGTGTAGGGGCCATAGCAAATTAGATTGTTGTCATATGAAGATTGATAGATGGAAGGAAAGCAGCTCTCTCTTGGCTCCAATGTGGCTGCTCTGAGGTCCTGGTATATCAGAGGTACTGCCATGGCCCATGCATTGCTTACTGTGGATGTGCCGAAGTCCTGAGATCTCCATGGTTGGAGATAACTCAGTATTTATCTGGAGAAGGCCCTGAACTAATTAGATATTGAAGTTGGCCATGCATTGAATGGGACAGGGTTGAGGCAGAGACTACCAGATGTTCTTGCCTAAATTACTGAGATTCTTCAATCCAAAGACTGAATGGGAGCCAGGGTACCACAGACATCCCTGGGACTGGGTCTGTACTGGGCTAACCTCTTAACTTGAGATCCATTGCTTGTTTCTGTTCCCAGCTAGTAGCATGGCATGTCTCAGATCCGTTCCTGGTCTCATGACTGGCTGTGGTAACAGCTCTTTTTCCTCTGATACCAGGATTTCTCAAATGAATAGGTTTTGCTACACAGTTGGAGGGATTTGCTGGAATATACAACTCTTCCCAGGATATGTGCTCTCACAGGAGCATCAGCACTGTTGAATCAGCCTGTCTGGTTCATCTCCCAGCAGGGATGCTGGGCAGCTCGCTGCAGTAGAGTTCTGTCCTTTTCCTTTCAAGGAGTCTTACTAGTTCCCTAAGAGGAGGCAGGTTTTCTGGTTGGGTGCTGCTATTCCAGGCTATCTCAGGGAGGTGAAGCCTCCTGGTTCTCAGGCTGATACTGCTTCCTCCAGCAGCTGCTGTGGGGTGCAGCCTTATAATAGATGGAGCTTTGATACATTTCATTATTTTAAATACTGGGGAATTCTGTTTGCCTTTTTTCTTTGTACTGTATTTTGGGTTTTTGTTTTTGTTTTTTTCAGAATATGATGCCCCAGGAACCTGTATTAAACTTTTCTGGAGTGGATTTGTGTATTCTAATTTAGATGACTGATTTATGTGGCGTGTTAGTGGTGCGTTTCTTCCCACCACACATTTAATGTAGCAGGAGATGGCAGTGTCCTCTGTGTCCTCCTCACACCATGCTGTCCTCATCTCCTGAGCGGGCTGGGTGCTGTACTTAGGGTCAGCAGAGATCTGTTGGTGGTGATCCGAGACCTTTTCCCAGAGCCTGAACTGCAGAGAAGCTGGTTTGAAGCCCCTTATGAAGGTGCCAGAATTGACCTAGAGGGCCTGAACCAATCTGTAGCTTGAGAAAGGTTTGCGCTCTGAGATGACAGACACTGGGCTTGTAGTGTTCATTGCCTGCTGGACAAGCAGCCAGGCCTCATGGAGTGATTGGAGCAGTCCAGCAGTCCTCATTAGAGGCTCCAAGGTTTGGGAATGAGCTGTAGTGTTTTGATCTCTGTGGAAGACAAGGTGTATTGGCATCACCTGTTGTGTGGTGTCAGCAGAAGAGGGATCCAGAGCTTGATTCAAGCTTTGTGTAGCCCAAAAAAGTTACAGTCTCTGATCCAGAGTACATCTTTTAAGCTGAATAGATTGGACCAGACTTCTCAAAGAGTTCTAATTTTTAGTAAATACCCTTTGGGCTCTCTCAGTGCCTACTGCAAGCACACCCTTGATTTTAGGAAACAGTTTTACTGAGTAAAATGTACTTTCATCCCCTTTATGTTGCAGGTGATTGAACCTGATAATTCAGTGAGCTGAGGTGATCTCAAGAGAAGAATGTTTTAGGAGACAGCTGAGTTATTGAGGGAGGGCTGCATCCTAAGAGGTTTGCAAGGCTGAATTTTAAAGATCCCAGAAGATGGTGTCTGCTTGCATCCTGGTGCCAAGGTACTGACGGCAGTGGATGTCACTGGGGTAGTTGTCTCACAAAGAGAAGATTGGCCCTGCCAGCCTGGGATTGCTGCTGCTCCACAGATCAGTGAGACAGGGAAGGTCACAGGAGTATGGGAGGTCTCCAGATTCACTGAGACTTTGTGTCCAATTTCCAAAATCTGCCAGCAGTACTGCTCTGAGCTCTGTGGGTCCTAGGACCTGGGAACTTGGCCTTGGAGTACATGAAAGCTTTAGGGTGGCTGTACCATGAGCTCACCTTTCCACTCACCTTCCCCACCACTCTCTCCCTGTGCAGTCTGACACAGTTTATGTGTTTTCATTTTACATCACACAGGTGTGAAGCTAGTAGTTGACAGAATCCTCTTTTTGGAGGAGGAGAGGATTATTGTTGGATATGTCCTGAAGCAAAAGTTTGAGAATAATATTCTGGAGAAATAGTGGATAGATAAAACTCTGAGGCCTGCTTCAGAGTCAGGCCTGTGGGAGGTCTGAGGTTCACCTTGGCTGGGGGATATCCCAGCCAATTTGGTCAGTGCTGCCCAGAGCTGCTGGCCCAGCCCCAGCGCAGCTCTGTGACTTTCCCTGTGTTGCCCCTGTGCCAACAGGTAACCAGCACACACCTCCCTACCTTTGTAGGCTGTTCTGCTTCCTGGCCTTGCCATCTCCTGGCAGGTACATTGCTGACAGAGCAGTAGGGACAGGTGTCAGCCTGCCTTGCTGACAGGGTTACAAAAGGGATTCCAGGACCAAACCCATTCCACAAAACATAAGGATTAAATATTGAAATCCTTGGCATTGCCTGTGTGCTTAAAAGTGCTGAGGAAAAGGGCTTTATCAAGAGAGAGGATCAGCTGAAATTGCGAATTGTCCCTTGGGCTCCTGGTTCTTCCCATGGAGCATCTGTGCTCCCCTACCTTTGGCTCTGCTTCCATGAGGCACTTCCAACCCTGTTGCTGGACCAGAAGACAGGGGATAGAAGGGAGCCCAGTGAACTGGGACAGCAAGGAACAGGAGAGGAGCAGATAAGGGAGCAGATTTTTTTGCAGGTTGCTCATGGAAGCAGTTCTCCAGTTAGGGCAGTGGGTGGGGAGAGTATCCCCAGACTCCAGGTGTATCCCTGTGCTTGCTGCAGCACTTGACTCAGCCAGGCCAGGGGCTGGGCACAGTTCTCTGTTCCCTACTTCTCTGTCAGCCAGCAGCCTGCCCTTTTTGGATTTGTGTTTTGTGTTGGGGCCACACTGTCTGTCCTACAGATGGGCCAGGGCTTCAGCAGCCAGATTGTAACTGGAAATCTGCCCTTATAGCTCAGCTGGAAGGAACAGCAGCCAGTGCCCCAGACAACCCTCTCACTCTCATCCCTCAGAGCCCATTTGTGAGCCTGTAATGTGCTGACCATAATAAAGGGGAGCTCCCATGATGAGGGAACGTTTCCATCATTTCCATGTAACCATTAAGGGGAGGATCTTGTGCTTGTCCGTACTGGAATCACTCACTCTTCTGCCTCATGAGCTGTTGATAGCAGCACCTGAGGAGGTCAGTAATCCTCCAGGAAGTGAGTGATACATCCTGGTCTTTTATTTAGCCTGCTCAAACAGGCCTACTTCTTAAATTTAACGGCCTTTAGCAAAAATTTTACTGTGTTAATTAAAAATACTAATACAGTGAATTATTTATTATGGCAAGTAATTCCACAAAAGGGTACAGAAAGAAAAAATTCCCACAAGATCTTAGTAAGGTACAACATGATATATTCTAATATGATTCCACAAAAGCCTTCATGGCTAAACCTCAGGCTTTGTCCCAGCCAAAAGCAAACATCTTTCATGTGATTTCAGCATAACAGGGTGTTACTGGTTCAGTGATGGTCTGGAAGGTTAGGAAGTGAGTTGTATTCACTGCTTGTTGCTTTTTTCTTCTCTCTTAAAAGTCTCATCATTCAGAAGCAGAAAGGTAATTGTAAACTACCTGTAGCTTGCAAAATGCAGCTGGCAGTGAGGCATAATCCCCCTGCATGCTCACAACAATGGTTGAAGCAGACTTTATTTAAAGGAAAATAAGTAGCAGCTAAGTAAATGCACAGGAGGGAGTAATTTAACCAACCCATTGGATGAAAGTCAGGGTAGGGCAAGAGGAGTCATGGGACTGTTTAAATCTCTCAGAAATGTGATGAGTTAATGAGCAATAACTACTTTATGTACCATTACTGGGCCCCTCCTACACTCAGGAGTATTTCTACATTTCTCATGCAACCTGCTTGTGTGACAAATCCATACACACACTGCACCCAATTAGCGTCAAGCATTAGAGCTGCTCTGCCTGTCTCACCTCTCTAAACCCCTCCTGGAAGCAATTTTCCCAGCATACAAGGAATAAATCACCATTTTCCTAAATCTCTCAGAGGACAGCTCCCAAATAAAGGCCAAGTAAACACATGTAATACATGATATTCTATTCATTAGGTAATCTTCCCAGCAGTAGATGCAGGGTATTATCTGCTTTAAGTGTGCAATGTTACATGAAATTAAAAATGTCAGGGGAGGTGAGACAAGGCACTTGAATAGGCACTTGTAGAAAAGTAGTGGAATACCTTGCTTAAACAAACACAAACTCCAATCCTTTCCTCCTCTAAAAGAATAACAAAAATACCAAAAAACCACACCAAACAGCCAAACAGACTGGAAAAGAAAAAAAACCGCACACCTACTATAGGAAATATAACTTAATTTACCCATGTCCCAGTCTCTCAAGAAGCATTGGGAGATGAAGTGAAGGGAGCAGAGGAGGGAATCCTTCCCGGGGTACCAATTGCAGCAGGGTTAAACCATTAGGTGAATTTGACAAATGACAACATGACCACACCTTGTGTAATCAATAGCCACTGTGCTATTGGAGTGTCCCAAGGAGCCTCCTTTGACACTGGCTGTCTCTCTTCACAGACATTTTCAGGTGAGCAAACATCTGCCAACTTCTGCTGTGGTGCACTGGAGGAATTTGCCCCGTCCTTTCCTTCTCTTGTTTCTTTGTGGTAAAGGCTGGCTGGCTCAGAAAGCATCACCTGCCAGTGAGGGAGCTGCTGCCCTGAAAAGCAAACAGCCCTGGGGTGGCTCCAGATAACTTGTGCTGAAGAGATGTGTGTCAGAGGTGGCTGAGAAAGGCTCCAGGGGAGCACCCGTGACCTTACAGCACATACATGATGAGCAGAGCCAGAGGCTTAGTGTTGTCAGTGCCCTCTGTGGCTGCTGGGGACAAGTGGGGTGGAGGGCACATTTCCCTTCACTGTCCCTGGCCCAGCTGCACAGGTGTTCCACCTGTGCCTCCCTGGGATGCCCTGAGCAGGAGTGTGGCATGCCTGGGCTTCCAAACCGCTGTCATGGTGTCCCTGCTTAGCTTTACCAGAGCCCAGGGCCTCTCCCCACAGAGTGGGTTCCATGTCCCCAGTACCCCCCGTCATGTCCCAGAGAGGCCAAACAAGCGGGCCTGGGTCTCCAAGCTGAGCAGGGGCTGTGCTGGAGCAGCCACGGGCAGGACTGAGGGGTCCTGGCTGCTCAGGGCTACTGAGGAACATTAGTGCCTGAGGCAGGCTGGGAGCTGCACAGCTCCTCTCTCCGTGCCAGCAGGATCAGCCCTTGGCCACCTTGGCTCAGGGACATGGGAGCACAGAGCTGGAGTGTGACCTCGTAGCCAGAGGAGCTGCCGCTGCTCATCCCATGAGTCAGGGGAGGCCACGTGAGGCCCCAGCCCCGACGCCTTCCCACCCACTGGGAATGCTGGCACTGGGATCCTGACCCAGCATCCTGAGCCACCACACAGCCTGAAGGTGAGTGCTGGGGAGGGGTTCAGGAGCTTCTTGGGGTCGAGCCTGGGGGTGTTTGGGGGCTGTGTGCTGGCTCCTGGTACGCTGCTGGGCTGTTGGCTGCTGTTTGAGGCATCAAGACACTCTACAGAAAAAGGGTTCTGGTGCTGTGGGGATTACAGGACTTCCCTATAACTTCTCTTTTTGACTTGTGTCTTTTTGACTCAACTTCCCCATCTTTTAAATAGTTTTTTTCTCTAAAATCTTCATGGCAAGCCCGACACTTCATGCAAAGAGAAAGATTAGTTTCCCCTAATTTTACTCAGACTACAAGCATGAACATTTCTGGTTTCCCATGAGTTAATGTTCTTCAGAGCTTTGCAACAACCACAGAGAGGCACACGGTGCGAAAGGAGAAACACAAACCAGGTAATTTCAAGTGTTGTACGTTAATGCTTTAAGGCAGAGCTGGAAAACAGGCAGCAAACCCTCCAGGGCTTACAGGTGTGGGGCTGGCAGCAGTGCAGCCACTGTGTCTGGGCTTGCTGTGAAAGCCAGGGCAGGAAGGAAGTGCTGGAGCTCTGGCAGGGAGTAGATGGGCTGTGCCTGCTCCTTGCTCACCACCATGGGGCTGGTCAGAGCCAGCCTGGGGAGCTGCCCCTGCTGTGGGGGCATGCACTTGCTGGTTCTCCCTCCACACCTGTGTTCAAGGGGAGTGGAAAGTCTGAGTTTGCTATTTCTGTGTCACATTTCAGCTACGTTTGACAGCAGGAAGGCACGCAGAAGGGTAGCAGGATTGTTACCACAGCACAAGGAGACTGGAGCAGGAACCGTTTCAAACGAGCTGGTGTGGATCAGTTTTTATTGTCTTACAGGAAGAAACTCAGCTTTCACTGAGGCTACGGCCCTCCAGGACATCTTCCTGTGGAACCAACTGCTGGGACCAACCTAAGACTTGCAGGTGTGCTTTAAGAAGTTTGGTTTGGTTTGGTTTGGGAGAAGGGTGTTGAGGGACTTTAAAATAAAATTCAGCAAGTTTAGGTTTCAGCATATAACTTAAAATGAAAGGTAAAAGTAATTTTGAAGGGAAAAGGTTTGGGATTGTCTGATTTTTGTCTTGAAGTTAAAACAACCTTATTTTATTTTATTTGCATTTTTTTTTGTTTTCCTGTTGAGCAATTTCCCTCAGATATATTTCATCAGTTAAGCAAAACCCCGTGTATGGAAGTTGCGAACTTCACTTTCTAAATCTGACTCTGCACACAAATTTTATTCTAACATGTTAAAAAGACCTCACTGCAATTAAATTTTGATTTACTGTGAGAAAAGCAAGGTGAAGTCTGTTGTTCATGTCATTCCCCAGTGAGCTCATGGCCAGACTGAAATGCTTGTATGTCATCATCTTTCTCTCATTATGAGGTATAATCAACTAAGTCACTTTTAAAACATACAATAATTAAGCACCTATACTTATCCTTTGTTTAGATCTGATTTTCTTTCCAGAAGAGCCACAGGGGAATTAATTGTACATAGTCTAAGAGAAACTAAGTACCCAACGTCCTTGGTTAATGTAAATCTTGGTGACTGTACTGGGCTGAGCTGTGCTGGAGGCACAGAAAGGGAGATGGGAGCAGATGCCAGTTGCTCCTGGATCCTCTTGTAGCATCCAGGTCTTACCACAGGGGGATGCAAAAGTGCATTAGGCAGCTGTGTTTCTGTTCTGGAACAGCTGAGCAGTCTGCTCGTTTGGGCCAGCAAATGAGCAGTTTTGAAGTAAATCAGTCTGATAGCAGATAGAGATGATGTTGACAGTGTCTGCCCTGCCTTCAGTGTTGAATCTGCTCTTCCTGTGTGCCTGGTAGGACAGGTCAGGTAGTGCCCACCTGCTCACTTTGGGATGATGCAAAGCTGGGATAGGGCAGCTGCTGTGACAGGTTCCTGTCAGGGGAACAGCAACATGCCTTAAAATGCCACTGAAAGTGGCCTTCACTAGGTATTAGGAACCACAAAGACAAACCTCCTGAGTTTCACTCAACAGTAAAATATCAGGATACTTATAAATTATTTTTTGAAATTGAATTAATCAGCTGGAAAAAAAAAGTTTATATTTAATGTATTTTTGTTCCTTTAGCTCTTGTATTTTGACCGTGCAGTCCAGAAGGAGGCCTAATGGATTTAGCTTAAACAAGCAGCTGTTGCAAGGTCTAAGTTTAGCAAACAGGAAGGCAAGAAAGAGACTGAAAAAGACAGAAAACCATAGCTGGAGATATTTAAGTGCCTATGAAATGACATTCTTGATTGAGTGGCCAAGAACGAGTCTGTCCAGGGTGTGGTGTGTTGGGTTCTTACATTTCCACATCAGCTGGTGCTTACCCACAGAGGGGACAGATGCATTTCCTGCATTCCCTATTTGGTGCTCACAGCTCTCACAGGGCTGCTGCCACAGCTACAGCAGCAAAGGCTGGATGTAAGTGAAAGGGGAAGATCTGTAGATCTTTTGCATAGGTTCATCACTGGAAATAATTTCAAAATGTTAAAATATTGTTTCCCCACAATATACTTTGGAGGCAGGTAAGCCAGGTTTTCTGAGCTGAGCATTTGAAAGTGGTTATGTAATTTTTCCAGAAGTCTTCTGAAGTCTGTTTGTGTCTAATTTCCTCTGAGAACTGACACCCTAAAATGTTCTGTTTGAGTGTTTGCTTATGTGTTACAGTATCCTTCTGAAAATATTAACTGACCTGTTTTGGGTTTTTATTAGGATATTTTTTGGACTGATATGATGGTCTTTAGAGAACTGAAAGTGCCAGTAGGAAAAGAAACAGGTTTTCCTCTGGAAAATTTGAAGGATATACTTAGTTTTCAAGCTGCTTGATGGGAAGTGTTTTGTTGAATGGATCCAAAAGTTATATTGTAAGAAAAAGTGTGGACATATAAACTGTTTTCCTATTGCATCCTGCATAGTGGAAACTGTGCTTCAGGCTCCCTAAAAATCTCCTTTTGCATCTCTCAGTGCAGCTGTGGGTTAGTTGCAATATTGCATGAGGGGACATGCATCGGTGCAGAATGCCTGGACCACCCTAGGCAGAGGCAACAGTTCAGAACCACAGCCACCAGAAAATGTGCACCATCCAAATATTCCAGCCTCAGCCCAAAACTTCTGTGGCAAGTTTGTCGAAACAAAAGGAAATGTTGAATTTTCAGCATGTCAGAACATTTGTTTCTGTGGCAAATACCAGTAATGAATCTGTGATCAACACTTAAAAATTTGTAATTCATAAAGCTAAAGTTAATGGAAATTTCCTTTTAATGACAACTTGGGAGGAGCAGATGTTGAAGCATCAAAGTCTTCTGTGAGACAAGAATTCAAAGTCTTGTGGGACTTTCCTAGGAACCATTTCTGCTATTTTTTCTGGCTGATACATTTTAAGTATTAGGATATCAAAGGTACAGGATAATGGTTCTGTTTCGTGAATGGAACCTGGCCTATTAGGTTACTCACATCTGTGGTAAATATTTAATTAGACACCTTGATAGCTTTACAAAACAGCAATGTGAATGATCAAGTCTGACTTCTTTTTGTTTTACTCATGATGATCAGACTTTTGTTCTTTCCTAATAACCAAAGGCTAGTAGGGCTCACTCAGAGGAGTCAAGAATTGGGTCCCAGGAGAGTTAAATGAATCATGATGTGAAACAGAGAAATGATTTCAAAACTGAAAGGCCCAGAGATAGATGCTGTGTTTGCAGACAATCAAAGACAGAAAACCAGGAAGGTCAGTGACCTGATTCTAAATGTGATTTTTCCCCACTTTCATACAGGCACAGCAATGGAGAATTTGGATGTCCCAATCCCAGATCTTACTGAAGAACAGCAAGGTGAGGGAAGCACACAAAGATCAGAGCTTTGGCTCATGCATACTGCACAGCAGTGTTTGCCAGGGTAGGCATGAGTCAATGAACTCTGTTTCCACTGAAAACACACCCTATCCATCTCCTTGCTTGTAAAAGAGAGACCAGAAGTCAATTCCCAACTCTTCCACAGGCTCCTGTTAGGCTTTGTGGGAATTTAGATACACAAAGGAGACTTTACTGTGCATTTAATGCTTCATGAGCAATCCCAGTACCTTGGTGTCCAATCCTTGGGGTCTTTTTGCCTGTCTGTAAAACAGCATGGTCAGAATAAGTTCCTGTTAAATAGCTAGGAATACTTTGGGAACACTTGCCATGCTTCTCTAATTGAGACATCAGTCATTTGTATGGACTATTGACATTTGTCTACTCTTTTGTGGCAGACTGAGATGCTTTATACAATACACCACAACTCTCTTTCCTGTGTGCTGGTATTGGGCAGTGTGTTAGAGCCTGGTGTCTGTCTCCACAGCTGCACTGAGCACCACAGGAACACTGCCATGCAAACCCCCTCTGCTCCTGCACAGTGACAGGTTTGTTTTCCTTACAGACATTTTTCAGAGAGTTTTTGCTGCTGATGCCAAGTACTTGGAGAATCATGAAAAAATGAACCAGTCCTTCTGGGAATCACTTGTAAAATGCTTGGCTGCTACTGACCCAGCTATCCTGGATACTGAAGAAAAGAACAATGTAAGTTACCAAAGAAACGCTTATCCTTATTCTGTTTTTTCTACTATACTCTGAGGAGAGAGAACATACAGTCCCACTATCTGATATGCTGAAATATATTAAAAGGTGTAACAGGGCACTTAGATAAATGAGGTTCAGGCCACTGCTTTTTACTTCACTGTTCTCTATGTGCAAAAATAACTGTCTCTATATAAATTCCTCAGAATCAGTTCAGCTCGCTATGTTCTAGGCAGGACCATTGTTAGTGACATTTTGCTGTAAGATACTACAGCAATTGCATGGCCATTTTCAGACCCTATAGCTGTGTTTCTCCAGCTCTCTGAATAGTTAACTGTTGCCCACCATGCTGTTTTTCCCAGTTGATGGCTCTGCTCTGAGTTGGTGAATGGAGCTTATGTTCTCTTCCCATCTTTGTCCCCAGTTCCCCCCTTGTATAGAAGGAGCAGGGGGTTGCATTACCCACAGGGTGGGACACACTCATTTGCCCATCAGGGTGTGCTTCTGCAGGCTGTGTTTTATTGGAAATATCATTTGCTATTTACTTACCTTTTTTTCAGCTCCTTAACAGCTGTGATGTCCTCCCTGGAGGCTGTGCTGCCTGCCTGGAAACCATAGAGAAGAAAGGAGTCAGGGCAATGGCTCTTCTTTACCTTTTGCTGAAGACTTCCAACCCGTCTGCGTACAGGCAGCTGCCCAGCTCCAAGGGAAAGGGTGAGTCCTACCTGCCTTCCTGTCAACTGTTTTGTTAAAATTACTGCAGGGCCAGTGGGACTTGACAGCAACTTGAACACTGTTATATGCTTGGAAGTGATTATTAGTGAACAACTGAACTGTTTGGAAGTACTGCTCAGGAAAGGCAGTTAGGTGTGGTGGTAATAGGAGCCAAAGTTAGTGTTTTATTGCAGTTAGACTTGGCTTTTTCTGGGGAAAAAAACACCTGTGTTTAAGGAGAGAGCACGTCCTGGGATGATGCTGCCAAAGAAGTTTCTCTGACTTGAGAAAGAATTCTTTCTCAAGTTGCAACTTTTTTGCAGACTATTTTCCAGCCAGCCAGGACCCTTCTGAGCACTCGCAGTGCTAAGAAGTCAGAGCTGACAGTGAAAATATTTTTACAAATTCCCTAACAGTACATGTAAAACTAAAAGGAACGGACAGGGGATGGCACACAGGGTGCTGAACCTGGCAACAAGATAAAAGAGACTTATTTGTCTGGTTGTGCAGTAAGAAACTAAGGGCAGCTTCACAGGGTCCATAGTCATTAATTGTCTTTAATAGATGACAGAGGAGCAGTCATTTAAGATGTCCTTAAATTTAACTGGAGATCCTCAAGGATATCCTGTTCCTTCTGCCTTGATTAAACATGTTCCTGAAGGGGAGAGACCATCTTCCCAGCCTGGAGCACAGCCCAGCTTTGGTCGTCTCTCAGAGCAGGAATGTTGGTAACAAGACCCTTGGGGCTGTGAGCAGAAGGAATCCCATCTACCTGCCTGTGCCCAAATCCTGCACCTCCAGCTGTTGAGATGCTCAGAGCCCCGGCCCTGAGCACAGAGCTGGCTGTGAAGCTGTTCAGAGTCAGCCACACGAGGCAGGAGCAGTCGGGACCCCCGCTGGTGTGGCTGGGGTGTGGGGGCTGTGCTCCTGTGCCACGAGAGGGAGCTGGAGCCCGGCAGAGGTAGCCCAGGGCAGGGCGAGCCGCTCCTCTCCGGCTGAAGCATCGCTCAGCTGCAGCTGCTGCCACTTCAGGGAGTGGGAATTTGCACGGGAGTAACATCATGAATAATTAAACGCCAGAATATGAAACTTTAGGTGTCTACCAGAAGCATTTAAGAAGATCTAAACTGTAGTGTGTATGATGCTTTCATTTGATGCTGTGTACTACCCTTAGTGTGCAAAAAGCACAGCTGAAATTAGACAAAGGGTCTGATTTCTTGTCAGGCAACTTTTAATAAAGCATTGTGAAATCTGTAATTGTAAAATAGAAAATGTAGTCACTGATAATTTTTTTTTCTCTCTTTATAAAAAAATAGATGAAAAATTGAAACTCCTGAAGAGATTGGAAAGGAATTTTGTATATTCAGAAGAGGACAAAAAGTCTGAAAAGTCATCCCATAAGTCCACGGATGAAGATACACAAGGTAAAGTGGATTTATTTTTTTTCCCTGATACATAACTTAGTCTGACTGCACGTTTGTCAGGATTGACATAGGAGATGTGGCAGTTCTGTAGAGCTCTGAATAAAGTAAGAAACTGTGCAAAAGAGAGAACATAGAAAATCATCAGTACCTGATTCATGATCAGCAAAATAGTGGCTGCCACCTACTCTTGTGGAAGTTGGTTTCAGAAACATAAAAATCTGCTGCAAAATTCCTTCCCCAAATAAAAGATCCTAACTTCTCTCTACAGCCCTTTATACAAGTTAATCCAACTTCAGGTTTTGCTGTTTCACCGATTCAGCCAACTTTGAAGGGAGCTGTGAGGCAAAAGCAGACAATAGAGATTTCATTTCAAATGCATTTTATGCATTTCAAAGCCTTATTTTTTTTACCTTCATATGGTTTTCTTTAGAGCAAACAACTACAGTGCTGTAGTTTCTGATGCTGCTAGCGCATTTTACTTTACTCTGATGAACAAACACTTTCTCTTATCCAGACAGTGATGAGGAAGATTTAGGAAGACAGAAGACTGAAGGCAAATTACTTGAAGGTAGGACAAAGCCACAGCAATATTGGCTTTTACTAGGGGCAACCAATATAAACAAAAAAAAGATTACTTTTTGCATTCTTTGGTTTGGCTGTTGAACAAAGGTATACTGACTTGTGTAGATGTAAAAGAAAGACAAGTCAGAATTTGGCTGTAGGAAGGACATTTCCTACAAGATTAAGCTCAACTAATACTGACACTCAGCCATGCTCTGTGCTTGGAGTTGAACCAGGAAAGCAGCAAAATCTGCTGTTGTGGGAGGAGTCCTGCTGCCTGGGTCTGCACAGCTGCCACTGAAATGCAGCAAGAGGGTTCTGAAAACATCTGTCACAGCCACTACTTACAGGGGCTGTAGTCAGCCCACAGCACTGACTGGAGATCGTCAGCAAGGACTATCTTGTTCCTGAGGCTTTTCCCTTCCTGCCAAAGGAAAAATGGAAAATAACTACAATGCAGATGAAGAAAATGTGCTATGTCAATACACAGAAATACCTATAGGACTATGGATGTAAAAATGTAAAGTATTACTATTTTAATTAGTGTCTTAAACTGAGCTCGGCCCAAATTAGCAGCTCAATTAAATTGACATTAGGAAATCTAATCTGTGTCACAGAAGTCTGATTCTACTTCACTCCAGATACTTGGAGAGATGGAATATGGGGGCTTGGTGGGTTAAAGGTTCAGTAATTTCCCACTTTTTGACTGCATAGCCCCCAGCAGAGCCGTCCTGTTTAAGGAGTTAGGGTTGGCCTCTTCCTTGTCTCTGTTACACACCCACACTGATTTCAGGGAGCTGATGGGCTGGCACTGGCACCAGACACACTCACTGCAGGTATTAACCTGCCTCATCTATGTGTCATGTTTTAGGAATACCAGCAGAGATGGTTCCTTACAGAGATTCAGGTAAGTGCTCCCAGGTCACCTGCTGGAATGACTGGAACTGTAGTGTTTGCTTTCTGACCTGCTGAGACATTAAGAAATAACTCTCAGGCTGTAAATCTCTTAGTTTCTACTCAGCTTGGTGTTGGATCTGGGCATGGTGCAGACATTCTGTTGCAAGGCTGTGGTAGTGACTGGCTCACAGCAGGTGGTTTGTTCTGTACAAGGTGTTCTGTATTTTTGTAGGCCTGCCAGGTTCTCACAAGATCACCTCATAGTAGTCATTCTTTAGGGGAAAACCCAGCAGTTCTGTTGGGCAACTGTTCAGTCTTAGCCAAAAAAACTAGAGGAAGTTTTTAGTATTCCCTGAAGCCCTCTATCTTCTGCTGAACAGGGGTGCAAGGCTGGGAGGGACCTGGAACCTGGTTTCTGCAAGCAGTGATGCTTGGGTCTGAATGCATTCCTGCCTTAGCTCACAGCATTCCCAGCAGGAGGTGCCAGGTGAAGGCCAGATGTCAGGCAACAGAGGAGCAGTGCCAGCCAAGAGGTTTGCACAGACAGGCAGTCTGAAGGCAAACTGCCTCCCACCAGACACTGCTGTACAGCCCCAGAATGTTTGTAAAAAGCCCATTGCAGGAAATTGCCAAGGGCTTAATTGCATTACAGAGCTCATCCCTCTTGTGCCCAGGCCAAGGCCACAGGAGAAGTTAGGAGAGGCAAACAGCCCAGTGGAGCAGCCTTTGGAGAGCACATCTGCTCTACTTCTGTGCAGTGGAGAAGTTATAAATTGCAGCATAATCCCTTGGGAAGGTTTATGAGTTACCTGTCCCAGAGAGCCACACAGAACACCAGGGCAGAGGCATCCATTGCATATTCATCCATATTCTCATATTCATTGCATATTCATCCATATTCTCCTCACACTGCCAGGTGCAGAAAGGGTCATGGTACTTTTCCACTTGGTGTTTGGCCTCTCTACCACCCACCCCAGTTTTGTTGCAGATAGGTGATTACTTACTGTGCTTCTTGGTGCTGAGTATAGTGGGAAGCTCTATATTTGTATTTTTTTCCATCAGAAATAACAAAACTATATTGTTTCTCAGAGATTGCCAGAAGAGAAGATTCAGATGCAGATGGTGAGTACAAACATGCAAACATAAGTTTATTTTGTGGATGCTCTTTCAGGACTGAGTTTTGCTTAGTGGTGGGGGCAGTACCAGCTCCTTGATGCCTAGAGATTGTCTGATCAAAAAGTAGAAGTTTGAAAACAGGTAATGAGACATGGAATGCTTTAACAGAAGAAATATTGTGCAAGTCATTCCATGATGCCAAGTTACAGTGGGACTGTTGCATTTAGGGAGTAATACAAGACAGACACTTGCCAAGTGTGAATTGATGTTCTGCTAAATTCTTTATCTATAGATCATTCATGCAACTGCACAGAGCTGTATCTGTGAGACAGAATGATGCAGTACTATGTTATTAATAAGAAAATAACTGTGTTTGTCCCAAAACCAGAATGTGATCAATCCAGACTGCTCAAAGAGGCAAAAATGTGATGCCTGTATCAGGTGACATGGAACAGAATTTCTTGGTGAGGCTTAGTTGCTCTGTGGCTCAAAAGCACCACAGCAAGTCTACAGCTCATGTAAAGGGCCCTTCCAGTACTCACCTGTTACATCTTTAGAGAAAATTTGCTGCCAGGCAGGAGTTACCCAGTGTAGGGGAAATCAGCATCTGAAACTTGTGCTGAATCAACTCCCAAAGGTTTGGGTGCAGCAGGTGCCTCTGGGGCTGCTCAAATCACCAACAAAGAGAAGAGATGAAAAACTGCTGCTTTGAACCTGTTATTGGAGAGATGCTAAAATACTCAGCTCTTTGTGGCAATACAGTTGGAGAAAAAAGAGAATTTGGCAACTCTGCTCATGACAAAGAGCAAACTGCTCTGTGTTTAAACCTCTAAAATACCTCATTTGTTCTTATGCTGTTTTTTTCTCTATGCCAGTGTAGCTGCAGGAGACTCATTTCAGTAGCATATTATATATTATTTAGGATGGTGCAGAAGTAGTTGACATCAGGTGTAAGTAGAAGGATGGTTCTCACACCCTCAGTAATGGAGGGGATCCTTTTACTATTTTTTACTGTAGCTGTGCTTGTGCAAAGCAGCCAGGAATCAAACTGAAGCTCCCTTGTACTATGGCTTCACTCCCCCACTCTCCTTCTGAGACTATGGCTTGTCCCAGAAGAGGCAGAAAACACCCAGAGTGCTTTAAAACAATTCAGTATTGTTAATGCAGCCATCTGGTTATACTTTTTAAAATTCATTTTTAAAACCATGCTCTTTGGAGTGCTTTTGAAATTGCTAATTTGATCTTTCTGAAAGGCTCACAGACCAACAAAAGTTTTACATATATTCTGCTCTGACAATGTATTTCAGATACAAAAAGGCAAATAAACTTTAAACTCCTTAATTTCACAATTCCATGGTAATAAAAGACTTCTCTTTTTTGTAGCATATGAGGAGAGCACTCACCCCCCTCAGTGCACAGTACGGTGGATGGGCATACGGAAGGATGGTAATTGATTTATCAAATCAAACTGATGTCAAGCCTGTTGAACCTTAGTCCAAGAATAAGATTTCTGGTTCAAAAAACCCTTTATTTTTCCAACATGAGTGCTTTGTTGAGGTGCATCAAGGCTTCATGATGAAAATCATTGAGGCTTCCCACAATGTTGAGCCTAGTGCCTGAGAAATCTCAGGGAAATTGATTTCGTTCCATGAGTGATACTCTGTACCTAAAGGTGAATTTGGAAGGGGCATGGCTGCAGTTGTAACCCAATCTTCCCTCTCAATTTCAGATGAATTCTTCCATTTTGTCATTCTTTGCTTTGCAATTGGAGCTTTGCTAGTTTGCTACTACTACTACAAAGGTAAGGCAAGATTCAATAGAAGGATAAACTGTTGCACTGTAGAAAAATGAACAATGCTAACAGTTATTTTGTTGCCTTAGATTGGACTATTTCTCTTGGGATTGGTTTAATCACCTTTGCTTCCCTGGAAACCACTGGGATATACTTTGGCCTGGGTAAGTGTGCCTACAGCAGCAGCTGTGGCCCTGCACTAAGGACAGGGTCACACAGTTGCTGCAGGCCCATAAACCCTCCAGGGTCGAGATTCCATAACTCACCACGTAACTCCCCCCAACATCTCCCAATTACAGGGGGGCTGAGCCAAGCAGCCTTAATGCTACTGAAGGGAGGAATTGACTCATTTTTCCTTCTCAGTGATCACAAGACCCTGAGTCACCTCTTTCTGCAGCAATGGCCGAATGCTGTGTTGCCATGACAATGTGTAATTTTAGCAGCAAGGCCTGTCTTCCCAGATCCACTGGATAAGATGCTGTGCATCCCAGCTGCCATACCTTCCCCTGGGACTGAGGATGAGCTCGGGGCAAAACTTGGATGGCGGCAGCTACTGGAAATATTAAAACCCAGGCATTTTGGCAATCCCTAGGCCTGGTATAGGAGAGCTGCCACCAGCACCAAGTTATGGTTCCCCAACCAAGAACTTGTCTCCTTTGTAATCTCATGTTAACATGGTGGGAGATTGTGGATGGTTCTCTCATGACTCAGCCTGATCTTTGTTATTAATGATACTACAGATGTGCTTGTTGAAACAAGTGTCAGTGTTTGGGTTTTGCCATTTTTCTATTTTTTTGTGTTGCTTATCTATATGTTTGTTTTCACACCCAGTGTACCGAATTCGGAGTGTCCTTGACAGCTTTGTTCCTTTCATTGACAGATTCAAGCCAAGAGGTAATAGTGCTCTTTTTAGTGACAGCATCTGTCTTCCCTGGACCTTGGTTTTGTCAAGAATTAAGACAAACTCATTTAAATGACAATTTCAAATCTTACTGCCTTAAAAAAAAAAAAAAAAAGGAATATTTTACTACAGTTCATTGCAGCTGCTTGGGTTTGAAAATTAATTAGTGTTGACTCTTTCTCTGTGGCAGAATCTTCTCACATTTTTAATACTCCCTCCTGTATGGGGTACTATTTCCTGGCAGTGTCTGCGTAAGAATTCTATAGCTTAAAGAAAAACTCAGGGGATAAAGGGAGGCTTCACTTGTTGGTTCTTCAGACAGACTGGTTCATGTTTATCTGTGTTTATGGACACAAAGAATACTGAAAAGCTGCATGGACACAGCACAGTCTGAACACAGCAGTCCTGACAGCTGTCTTTTTCTTCATCCCACAGGCATGAGGAAAGCTGCCTAGGAGGAGTATTTCAGGAGAGTTCCCCAAACCTGGCTGTCCAAATTTCCAGTACTAAAGGAACTGCTTTATGAGGTGAACCTAACCAAATGGCCAGTGTGAAATACTGAAATGTGAAACCTCTGAAAAACATCACTCCTTTCCCTCCAAAATAAACGTGAAACTGGGGTACAGGGCCCCACTGTGGATTCTGAAGTGGTTTGGGGCTTGTCAGATCTTGGAAGACAATGGAGATGTAGCTTTGTGTCCAGTTCCATCTAAATATAAACACTGACCTTCTCTCTCCCAGGCTGCCATGTGGTTGGTGGTGCAGCTCTCATTCGTAACAAACCACGCCAATCTGCCTGTGCTGTACCATAATCAACAGACCAATATCCTGTGCTGGTTCTGGCTTAGGCTCTGGCTGTTCCTGGAGGAATTCTGGCCTCCTCCTCCCCCCGTGCTGCCCAGAGCAGGCAGAGCTGGCGCTGCTCTCCCAGCTGAGTGCTGGCAGTGCCGGCACTGGGGCTGATGAATTGATTGTGGCAGAACCCGGAGCAGTGGGCGGGCAGTGGTTTCACCCGAGGAGAGCTGGGGAGATGTCACAGGCACTGACAGAGTGCTGCAGTAATGAGATTATTAACAACAGCAGATTTCATCTTTTCTCAGGAAAAACAAAGTGCTTGATTTGACTCATCCCCCAACCTTTTTCTTTCTTCGAGTAAAATAAACACGGAACTTTGACATTTGTTTCATTTTATAGGATGTGTTACAGATTTCAAGAATGTAGGGCTACTGCAGTTATAGGAAGACTGTAACAAAAGGGGGGTATCTTTAAATTTTTAGCAAAAATGTAAGGTCTTCATACCCACAGAATGATGAAGGCAACCAGTTGAACAGAAAAAGACGTAAATATGCACTTCTAAGGAAATGTAAATCTGAAAGCTGTAAACCCAAACAGCTCAGAGTTTAACAGGAACAATTTCAAGCCTTGCTCAGAAAATTAGAAAGGTTACTTTTTGTTGTATGGGATTTGAAACACTGAGTCAGTCACTCTTGCCTGCAGTTCCAGCTGCACTGCCAGAAACACCAACAGTTGCACTCAGGCCTGCACCAACACAGCACAGCTGCCACCCAGTGCCTCAAGGGCTAAATTGTGCAAGAAGGATGAATACAAGTTATTTCATTGTATTTATATGCTCATTTACATGTCTTTGTAGAGATATTCTACCATCCCAAACTACTGTATATTTTCTGTTAGTCTGCAAATAAAGTCTTGCTCAGACCACTGTAGCCGTGCTAGTGGCAAATGGCTTTTGGGTGAACTAAAAACTACACAGTCACTCTGTGCTGATGAAAAGGGCTTTTTTTAGTCTCTTCTGCTGTCCAATGTCTTTCTGAAAGGCAACTTGTGGAACAGTCAGGATGAGAAACATGTTTCAATACTTAATGTTTTAAATTTGGTACTCTGCAGTAAACATAAATTTTTAATTTTAACAGAAACTGCTTAAGGGTAAAATAAGCAAAACATTTAAAGACAGCAAAACATTTAAAAAGTCACAAAGTCCATCCCACCATGCAAGATGAAGAGTTCAGCCACTTAGACCAGGTCCCATGAGAAAAGTCTGTTCTCAGAAAAAAGGCAACTTACACATTGAGCTGCATCCTCTTGAGTACCTGGGAATTTCCTGCTCTTCTGGATCCTTCAGTCCTTCTCAGCATCACTCTTGCTGCAGCATCAGCCAAGCACTCAAAACTACACGTTCTTATGAAGAGTTTCAACTTCCTTCACTCCTGCTGTCTGCACTGCCATTCAGCATGTCCTGCCTGAGCCCAGGGCTCTGCTGGGCCCCACCTCCCCGTTGGTTCCCCAGGACCTGGAACATCTCATTCCACTTCAGCATCACCCAGCACATTGGGTACTGCCCCCTTGCCTTTGGTTTTAAACGGCTGGAGGCAATGCAGAGGAGGGACTCTAAACATGCAGGTATTACCCCACAACACCAAACCCCTCAGAGAAAAGAAGAGCTCAAACCCCAGAAGGTTTTTTAAGCTGGTATTTTTATTAGACCTCTCTACATAAAGCACCTTTGCCTGCCTTAACCTCTCCGAACGCAGCTCTTCCGTTACACAGCGTAAGACGCTTCCAGCTACTCCGCGTTCCTGGATTTGGACACGGCTGCCCTCACCGCCTGCATGATGGCATCCTTGTCAATGCCAAACATCCTCAGCAGCTCGGCTGGCTTCCCACTGCGGGGCACGTGGGACACAGCCAGGCGAGTGACGGTGACACCGGGCTCGCCCATGACAGCGGCACACACGGCTTCGCCAATGCCACCTGTGGAGAGAGGGCAGGCACGGCACTGATGGAGCGCCCGGGCAGGAGCATCCTGCTGTGTGTGTGTGTCTGAGCAAAGGGGCCTGCAGCTTACAGCCTCCGTTCCCAGCCTCAGGAAAACACCAGTCACACATGTCTGAGTGGGCTAACTGTGAAATGAAAACCCTGTCCTGTATCAAAGGCATTCTGAGGACAAGCAGGCTGCCATTTCTGAAGTACTCAGCCATCAGCAGCAGGACATACCTGCCTCTCACGGGCACAGGGCTGTCAGCAAGCTCTCACCACCTCGGCATCAGCCACCAGGAACCAGGTTTAAAAATACACTTTGGCTGAGGAGCATTTACAAGTGTACTTAAGGCGCTGAAATTCCAACCAATCTCAGCAGCACTTCAGAGCTCCATCTTTTCACAGTGCCTGTACGTGCTGCTGGGCACCTCTCTGCGTTATGTAATGTATTCACAACCTTTGCTCAGAGCTCAGCTCTGACTCACTATCGGTCACAGGGACAAAGGATGCAACGGGAACTGCATGGAGGCAGGAGAGACACTGGGAGCAGAACTACTAGGGAAGGAAACAGGACTTTTATCAAAAGCATGTGCTGTGAGACCTGGTAGAAGAGGCACCTTAGTGCTACCCTTCAGCCAGAGTGTATCCAGGATCACAGGGCTGCCCAGAGCTCCAGGCATGGTGGGATCTAACCAAACAGCCTGCAGCCAGAGGCACCTCTGCGGATGCAGCTGGTGAGATCAGTGTGATGGGGCCTGCAATGCACTCGGGGTTCTAATGCACAGACACCTGTGCTGCACCACACAGCATCGTGCCAGCACAAAACCCCCGGTCAGCACCTCACAGTTAAGACTCTCTGTCATGCAAACCTGCAGTAAAATAGTTGTCCAGAGCTGAACACTAAGCTAGAAAATTATGAGGTTCAGTGATCGATCTCCACCCACAGACTGGGACAAAAGCATGGTGTATCCAGCACTTAGAGTAGAACCAGCTACCTTCAGGTACCTGGCAAGAGTGATGCTCACCTTTAATTAGGATAATATTCTCATAACTCTATCTACTAATTTCTGTCAGTAGATATCTATGATGGTGGAGAAGGAAAGGGGAGGAATTTATCCCAGAGTAACTGTGGGAAAACTGTAGAAACTGCCCAAGATATCTGATTTCAAGCAACCTGGAGCTGGAGCCAAGCTTTTGGACACATGGAATACTTAAGCCTACACAGCAATGGTCTCTCTTGCAATTTTACACCTGCTGTACAGCCTTTCAGACTGAGCAGAACTCCTGCAGCACAGCAGGAATTTACAATTGCACGGGGCACTAATGAATCCAGGCTTCACTTGGACCAAGGGCACGCAAGGCCAAGTTAATCTGAAAGGCAGCCCCGATCACCCCTTACATCTTAGGAACCTTTCAACCCTCAGTGTCACTTTATAATCCTAACAGCACAAAAAAAAAAAAAGCTGAAATCTTTCTTTTGCTTTAACAGGATGACAGCATCAGGTCCCATACACCTCTATCAGGCAAGACGCTGGGAGCTTCCAGCCTCTGAGGGCTGTGACCTCCCAGACCCTGCTCACCTTCATGGTAATGATCCTCAACAGTGATGATTCTGCCCTTGGTTGCTCTTGCATTTTCAAGTATTGTCTTCTTATCCAGGGGCTTTATAGTGAAGGGATCAATCACACGGATGTAGATTTTTTCTGCATAAATAAATGAAAATTATTTGCAACAATGAATTGCAACAGGCAATGGCTGTGACCATTAAGAGAACTGCCCACATGAACTCCCTGTACCAATGGCTTATCTACCACAGAACCCAGCCAACCCTAATTTTTATATGTATTTTTTCTCCACGCACCTTGTGGAATAGTGATATCCATTTATTCACAGACATGATGGGGGAGGCTTGGATGAGTGGCTCAAGGTTACCAGGAGTACCCATCAGCAAAACAGTCATCTAACTGGCTTTCCCCAGGTAAGAGAGAATCCAGTCACCAGGAAATCCTCCTTACTCAGACTGTCAATTGTAATATTTTTTTCCCAGAGCTTTATTTTACCTTTATTGTCAAGCCAAGTGCAATTTCCACCTGATTCTTTGATGTGTAGGCACATCTGAATTCTTTCTTTACTGCAGGCTGCCACCTCTCAGGTGTATCTGTCTGAGCTGTCCAACCAGGGCACCTTTAAGGTTGGTTGGCACCAAACCCAGATCTGCCCTGCCCTCATAAGGCAGGCCCAGATGGCTCATTAAAGCAGCACACAAATGGCAATTGTTTATAAAGAATAGCAATTATGTGAGGTTCTCTCTAGTCCTGGCTGGTTGAACACTGGGCCAACTCCTTCCTACACATGAAGGGCCCCTATTGTCAGTTTTGTGACTGAAGGCTCTTTAGTGGCCAATACATTTTGGGTATTAGACCCTTTCTCTGCACTATGGGATTATCTCTCCAGAGGTGATTATTCAGACTTCAAGATCAGCAGCGCATTGTAAAGCACTATAAATGGAGAAAAATAACAGTGGTTCTGAGAATACAACTTTCAAAATGTCCTAAGCCTGGTGACTCAAGGTCATGACAAAGTGTCAGTCCACCCAGATGCTGCACACAAAGCTCCCCATAAGCCACAGGCAGCATTACTGTATTATCTCCTGCTATTTGTAATCTCTTCCTCAGCAGAGGCCCGATTTACAGATGGGTTTTTGATGGTTTCTTTCTCTTATTTCATTGAAGGATTACCATTGCTGTGAGATATCAGCGACTTGAGAACTGACAGATTTGTGCCCCTCCCAGGCCAGCTCAGAGCTGCTGCATTCAAAGGAACCCAGGTCAGCAGTGAGCCCAGTCCAGGGCCAGGTGCCCACGGGCACACACAGGTGACCCAGCCAGACCAGGTGCCACTCCTGCTTCTCACACACTGTCCCCAAGCCTCTGCCCACAGGGCACTATCGCAGATCAGCAATTCTAAGGAGATCTCGATGTGATCTGTTGTCAATTTTCTTGGCTACTCAAGCTGCTAAGCCAACTCCTCCACGAGGGAAGACTGGCAGCTGCATGCAGTGTTGTGCTGTATCAGCTAACAAGTGCCTGACTAGCTGTCTGAGCAGTGTAATTAATGTTTGCCAGTACAAAGGGTGAGCAGTTAGGCTGACTGGTATTGATTTTTTTTCTGTTACATGACAAAAAGGAAGAAAGCCCCACCTTTTCTCAGCTGCTCTGCTGCAGCCAGTGCTTCATGCAGAGTGACTCCTGCTCCAATCACAGTCACTTGGTCATCCTTACTCTTCAAAATCACCTGCAAGAAAACATGTCCATGTGTTTGTAACACAATCTTACTGGGGTTTTTTTTACATTTCTAGAGATTTTAATGAAAAGATCAAATCTTTGCAATAGGTTGGAGGGAAAAGGGCTTTTACAAAAACACTGCATATTTTTTCTATTTATCTGTGCAGTATTTACCTTTGCCTGTCCAATATGGAAATCCTCATTGTTGTTGTAAATGACAGGGTTTTCAGGACGACTGGTTCTGATGAAACAAATACCCTGTTTCCGAGGTAAACATGTTAGAAGTTAGGAAAACAGAGATGTGTTGACATTCTAGTTGATAAATCCTATAAAATACAGCAAAACTACTTTTTCTACTAATGTTCACCCTCCTATGTTGCCTCTGGTTCTTATAAGTAAACTCTGCCCCACCAATTCCCATTAGTCCTTTGTGGCAGCTGGTTGCTTCAAACAGTACAAAACACTTCACCTCCTCTTAAAGCACACTGAAAACTTAAAATTTCCTTTCTGATTCCAAGATACTTATTTCTCTTTGGTTCTCTTTTGGTTCTCTTGTGGAAATGGAGAATCCTACTTGAGTTAATTACTCTTGGAACCTTACCAGACATGTGCAACTTTTACTCTCAGTTTTAAATTAGAGAAGAATGCTGGGTTGAAAAAAAGGA